TAGTCAAGGACGCAAGTGAGTCCGTGATCAACAACAACGGTGAACTCTTTCAGGACTTTCCTGCATCGTGGTCTGTGCTGGTGGACAAGGGCTACATTGGCCTGACTGCGTCGACGCGAGCCATCCACCCGAAGAAGCGTCCCTCGAACGGATCCCTCGATCGCCACGACCTGGAACGGGACGCCAACGTCTCGTCAGATCGTGTCATCGTGGAGAACTTCTTCGGGAGGGTGTGTCTCCTGTGGAAGATCTCCTACGCAACGTTTGTGTGGGGTACGAAGTGCTACGATGCCATCCAACGCCTTACCTTCACGCTGACCAACTTCCACCTGACGCTCATGGCCCTGCGCCAAGAGGATCAGCATCAGTACCGCGCAGTCCTGGCACATTACCGACGTATGGTGGAAGAAAACAACGCCAAGCGCGCCGCCATCCAGCGTCGCTACGCTGTTCGTCGCGCGGAGAGAATGGCTACGGAGTCGTTGCGTTCTTCTTTTGCTGCTCGCGTGTCTTTCTCACCTTCCGCGAACACCCGCCGCTAAGTATAATAATATAACTTTATACTTGATATTTGTATATTATAAAAAAACGTTTTTGCATACAAACATCAAGTATAAATTAAATTTTGCATACAAACATCAAGTATAAATTAAATTTTGTTCATTATATGTGTTCCTGACATATTCTTCGGACTTGATCAGTATCTGCATCAATTTCAAAATATGGAAGTCATTGATCTCTTCCGACATAGATCGTCATAAGCAATGTATTCAATTGTTGACTCCATTCTTTATCAGCAATTCGATTCTTCTTCAGTCGGAGAGACCTTTGGAGACGACGGCATCTATTCGGAAACACTTGCGTTTCTGACTGTGTGACCAACTGGAGGCTTGATCATACGTCAGGAGGTCTATTATATTTTCGATTTGTTGTGTCACTTGTGTACGTAATCACTACAAATAAACACGTAGCATGAGGTGATGAGTGAATTGGTTGTTAGCATCAGCCATCCTCCAAAGCTTCCTTGCTCGCCGATGGGACCCCAGCATCAAATGGTACAATCAACTATCACTGCCACACATCGTAATCCGTTTTCACACAACTTAGAGTGTATTTGATGGTGTGGTGGTGAGATGCGCAGTGCCTGTGGTCACAAGCGCTGCGCATGTCATCACCATGCCACCAAGTACCCTTCAGTGAACAAAATAGTGTGAAAACTTGGAGGCCGTTGGTGGTCGATTTAGAGGAACACAGAGTCTATGTGACATGGCTAGTCGTGATGATGTACTGCATGTACTGCACAATGAAGTGATGGGGTGGTCACATGTGCAGCAATCGTAGTCACTGGGGTAATGTTACCAGGGTTTTTGGGCATTATTCTGGAGCGTAGGGGTGGGGGGGTAGTGGTGGTTGGTAATCACTTTGACTGCTAATCAGTACCACTACCACCCCACCACCCACGCTCCAGAATAACGACAGTCAAAGTGATGGTAGTGGTCTTTGCCGGGGAACGATAGTTGTGACTGCTGGGGCTCCAGAGGCCGTGACTGTGGTTCATTACTATGCCTACTCCTGATCTCGACAGTGGAGCTGTATGGTGGTGATTGCAGGGTAGCTGTTGCCGTGCCATGCTACGAGAGTAGAAGTTGAGGTAACAGGAGTTAGTTAGGCAGGATGGATGGGTGGGTGTGGCTTGTATGCGTTATTTGGCGAGCATATACCATGGCCGCAGGAGCGGCGGCGGTGGTCGTGGTAGTGTAGCCAAGTTCCGGGGTCGTCCCGTACTACTGTACGTCCTCCTAAGCGTACGATTCGTACGCTTAGGAGGACGAATCGAGTGCGCAGGCTCCACCGTAGTGGTGACATGGTAGTCACGGAGAGCCGAAGCGCGAGCGCCAGGTAAGCTCAGCACGATGGCGTACTAGTACTGTAGTACGTCATCAAACAAGTATCGTCTTGGAAGCTTCAAACGCGATGCATGAAAATACCTATTTTCTAGCGATGTGATTGGCCCAATGAAACGTAGTGCAATCAATATGCATTACGTTTTCCCTATTTGCTTGAACAAATAGTTTCTCAAATTTAATTACTAGGCATTTGTAAGTTGAAATTAATTAAATCCTGGCGAATTTGTTGTCAACAAATCGAAAATATAATGCGTCGTGCATTACGACGCCGTTATTTTCGCCCATATTTCATCTCATTTTCTGGATTATGACAACAAATTGGCATGTTATCCGGATTCCCCAGGGGAGGGACGGATACACCCGTTTAGCCAAGACTGAAAACCGTTCAAACTAATAAACTCTACTGTACCCGGCAAGACAGTAAAAACGTTAAGGAAAGCTGAATACCATGCAAATTAACAGCAAGCTGAAAAACGTTAAGGATTTCTGCCACTGTTAACATAAATCTGTTAAATGGGTGAGTACCACTGTTCGTACCACTATTAAACAGGCGGAATGATTATTAAATGCTTTTCACCTTCTTTGGCTAATCCAGGTCTAAAACCATGCTTTAATAAAAACTCATCCGTAAAATCACGGTGAGTGCCGTAATTTTAGGATGAGTTTTTATTAACAGTAAAGCATGGTTTTAGACCTGGATTAGCCAAAAAAAGGTGAAAAGCACAATAATTTTGTCATCCATTGATTAGTGCGATAAAACAATGGGCAAATTGGGTGAAAAGCACAATACAGTGCTGGGCGGAAAAGTTCGCAGCTTCAACGATTTAGATATATAGAAAATTGTATGCACAGTAGTATACCAGTGAATGCAATTATAATAAAACTCGTTTCAACAAACGAAAGGGAAATTTCAGTGAACACATCCAATTGGATAAAAACCGTCGGAATTTCAACGAATGATGCCTGACTGTAACGTTACGCACATCATGTCGCAATTTTGAGCAAACGTTACCCTGAATCAAATTTCGACATCATTTTCGAACTCAGGAGGGGGGTTTACCCTCCTACCGACCTTCAAACGCCAAGCGAAGCCCATCATATTCGTATTACATGAAACTATATTTCAATTACTGTTGGAATTGATTTTTCAAATGCACTCTCTACAGTTCGACTTGAAATTCTGTGGAAGACACGGACAAACTTTTCTTTGTCTCGGCGCTCGTCGATGTAGGCAAGGAGGGCATCCTTGAACGGATTGATGGTTTTGCGTCCCTGACCTCCCAGAGAGCCCTTCGAACCATGCCGTTTGCTGCAAAGGATAGCATGCTCATTGTTGCGCCAACCACGCCATGTGGAGCGTGCGATTTGCATGTCGACGTAGAACTTAGCTTCGTCCTGTAGTGGTAAGGCATGAAAGTGGTCTAAGACGCACTTGCGGTCGCGGTTTGTGTACCGGCGATACTGCTTCTTTGGTTTGACCGAAGTCATTTTGGACTTTGAGATGAAGTGATGTCGATGCAAATTTGAAATCCAAATTCAAATTAACCAATCACAGCGAGCTTAAAGTATGCCATGTGTTTTATCGACATGGATAAATTACTTTGTTTTTGTCCAATCATATTGCCAGCACTACTTCGGGACGAAATGAAATTTTTTATTTTTGCTATGTGCAACAGTCCGCGAACTTTTCCGCCCAGCACTGTACGTTCGTTACCTTGTTCACGGTGCAGGCTTTCAAACCTTTCCACATGTACTGTAATGCATTCATTACTTTGAGAAGGTTATTTGAAGACGCGTTATCCTTTCGCAAGCCATATTTTATGAAGGCTATTCGAAGTCATAACATTTTGTTGCATATATTACATCAAACAGGTTATCCGAATGTAGGCATTACATAGGATTCGACAGGTAAATCCCATGGACCTCAATTGGACACATCAATTGAGCTGGGACTATAGATAGCGACGGAACAAGTGGCCCCGTGGTACTCAGGCAGGTTTCGAGAATAATAATATTGCCATGTCAATGAGTTTTTGAATGCTGAAATGCATTATTTTAGCCAATGGGTGACAATTTTGCCTACGACGAGACGCATGATATGATGAATAAATAAGTAAGCAATTTGTTTTCCTAAAGTCGTCGACTGCCAAATATGTCGATGGGTACATCATATTTATAAAGCAGAATTATATTGAATTTCGTATGTCATGTAAACCACCCTCGTTTGACGACGTGGATGCAGAAATTGCGATCCACTTCCAAGGTCGCCCATTAGACTATGTAGGTGTTTGAGCATCTGACGTCACTCGATGTGATCGGGTTCAATTCCCGTGATGGCCCCAGTTTCACCCATTAGGAGAAACAGCTATTTCGCGCCAAACTGTTCCCGTAAAGAACGTAAGACGTCCCCCAACCAGGGGCGCAATCACCCCTAGTGGGACTAAGGAATATTGGTTAGCCAGCAGCGAAAACGCTGTGAAATACTGGTAAGTTTTATTAGTGCGTCAAAGTAAAAACAAAAAGAATAAACTATACCTACCAATTGTATTAGACATCATGAAATCCAAAACATAGCATTCATCACAACATATAACGAATAATATGAGCAATAGTGAGCAACGCTGATTGGCTCCTTTCAAATGAACCGCCAAAACAAACACTTGAAATGCGTGTCCAAGCGAGCTACACGAATGGTGACCGTAAACGGTTCCTCATGGAGTATGACCCATCTACGATGTCCTCCAAAGGGTACACCCGGACCCATGGCATCAAGTGGAGTACATGGTGGAATTGGCTGCAAAACAAGACGCAATTCTGGAGTCCAAAGCGAACAAGAAGCGCCTCTCGCTTGGTGGGCAGGGCCGCCATGAGCTTATGCCATTTGCCAAGGACCTGAACGCGTTCATGAATGAAGTTCACGATCAAGAACACCACCTCACCCACACCCACCTCATCACCTACATGAAGACTCATCACCAGCACTGGTTGACCGACAACCTTTCCGCCAAGAAGACGGAAGACCGTGCCTACCACAGTCTGATGCGACTCTGCCAACGCTTTTCCCAATGATACCAGTTCTTTCAAAGAGTCCCATGTGTCTCCAAAGTCAAGCAAGGCGAGTTACGTGAGATCCATGACAAGTTCGCATCTGACTTTTGGGCCAAGTTTGCGTCAACCGCCCATGCTGACATCATCTATGTTGACGAGACGTCGGTGTACTATGACATGCCACCTGGCAAGACTATTGCCAAGGTCGGGGGATCGTCCAAGGTTGACAGGTCTCAAAAGCACTCCAACCAAATGACAGCCGTTATATCGATCCGGTGGAACGGTACGACACTAGTGGTGTACGAGCTCATGATGCTGTTAGGCGATAAGCTGCCAATTCTCTTCGTCCTGAAGGGAAAGCCGGGTGGTGATATCGAACGCTAGGAGATTCCCACGTATCCTTCGGGTCATCTGTATGTGGTCCAAGAGAACGCTTGGATGGACATGGAAGTCTGGAACATTTACCTCAACGACCTTCTCAAGTTCGAGATTCAAGGCCCATCAGTCATTCTTGCTGTCAACCTGGACTGTCATGTGTCGCAGGAATCACATGATACTATTGCGTCTGAACTGTTTAGTGTGCTTGAACCTTTGCCGACGAATTCGACCCGCATGTGTCAGCCACTTGACGTCGGAGTCATGGGGCCTCTCAAGAGCATGTTGGTTCATTGTGGCTGCATGAGACCCCTGTCGTGACGGCAGCTGAAAAGCGACTTGCCATAATCAAGCAGACCATTGCTGCGTGGGATGCAATGCCCTGTAGTGTTGCTAGTCGCGTATTCGATAAGGCGATCCCAAATATTGTTTCATTGTAGGTTGGTAATTTCGATTCCTTGACTTCGTCGTCGTCGTGTGTCAAACGGGTCGAATAATGACATGATTAATCCAATCAGTGCATCAGACCAGGGTAGCATTTGAATTAAATTTCGCCTATTTATAATCTGTCATGATACAAATTTCAAGTCTATTTTTTGTACCACGGGGCCAGTTATTCCGTCGTTATCTGTACGCTCTTCTAATCGATTCTTCCTATTCATCTCGCCCTTAGTATCCGGTGGAAATCGTGGGAAGGGGCGTTGACCAACATCCTTCCCCAGGTTGGGCGCCAACCTGGTCACAAAATGAACAAAACCTCTATGTATACATGAATCTAGAATAAAATGTTACAGTACTCCGGATATGTGATATCAAGCCGATCGTGAAGCCGAAATCGGCGGGGGGGGGGCAAAAGCAAGATCCTCCCACAAAGGGAAAGTCTCCAAAATCTTTAAATTACGTGGGATGAAGTAAATCCCAATTTCCCAACCTTTGTATGCTCTGTTTTCATCATTTTCAACTTCCATCGATTCAGGACTGGAATTATTTTTGGTCCCCATGTACATTCATCTAATGCTGCCTCCGAATTGACGTCCTAGTAGACCCTCCAACTATCTATAGTGCACGCAGCGCGGTGGCGTGGTAATGACGGTCGATGTCGATCGCGCATATTGAGGCGTGTCCAAGGGGGTCCTCCAAGGATGGATCCACCATGGCATGACCTCCATGGACACTGCTCCACATGCACGATATTTGTCGCCAATTGTAACCACAAGACTATGCAAATGAACGTTGGCTGTGAAGACTGTTCAAACCCATCCAATAGCATCGTTTTGTATTCCGACCGGGAAGAGGTACCATTCAGAACTTTCATTTATAATCATCAATGCCAGTCTCTGCTTTACTTCACATCACAGTGGATCAAGCAGTGCGACATTTGGCGACGACTGTGTGTAGTGATCGCGCTTTTTGCGCAGCGAACGATGTCGATGAACCAAATTGAAGTAACACTTGCTTTACGGTGGATTGACTAGGCGAGCCCGTTGCTCTGCTGTCGGAATTAATTGTCGGTTGGAGCAAGTTACTACTTATTTGTCGTCGTAGTTGAGCCTCGCATAGTTTTCAGACATATTCTGTTTGTAGTATGAGTTTGTAGTATGCGTTTTCTAAACTCTCCTATCTTCAGTTGAACGAGGTTCGGTATTTTGAAGATGGGAATCAGTGCATGCGCAGTGGGGTTCACTGAAAGTATGAAAGGCTCCGGTAGAAATCTTGCAACTATGCTAAGACTAAGTCGCGCATAACTCAGTAACGATGTGGTCTTTGATACGTAGCGTGTTGACTTGAAAGCAGTTAGCTCCACCTCGCAGGAACATCCAATAGCGCGGTTGTTTGACATGTGACGTGTATGTCAGCCTGCATGTCGCTGCCAACTTGCGGGTATGTCCAATCGCATAGCTAATTATCTCGTGACATGTTGGTCAAAACACGACCGGTGCCATCTCGCGGTCGCTCCAATAGCTCCGCAGATTGAGCCGTGATATGTTGGTCAGAGTCCAGTCGACCCATCATGCAGGCACGACCGCTGTGTTGGATATGGTGAACAGTACTTCCGTATACACTTCGGAAGGAGTTCGTCATTCAAGTAGCAGTTTTTTCGACCTATCGCCGTGTTGTGTGGCATCACATGAGGAAAAACAGTGCTGTAGAAACTTGATGTGAAGGATGATTTGCTCCGTTGAATACAGCAATGGTTTTGGACCTGTACATATTTGTGTTGAACAAGGTGACGAACAACACGTCCGCCAACACACTTTGGATGGTGGGTTATTTATTGCTGCGACGTTGTGTGGCACGAAATATCGAATAACATGTCCAGGGACAGTTGATGTGAAGGTCAATGTGCTTCATGCAAACAGCAAGAGTTTCCCACCCATGCTGGGGTGAAAAAATGATGCAGGCAATCTTCGGATGCCAGTTTTGGGTAGATATTGAGAATAGCTTGGTCTTCCTACATTTTCTAAATTTATGGTGGTTGATGATACGATAGGGGAAATATGATATGGTAACGTATGATGCAGAATAGTTTATTTGCTGCAAAAAGTAGGTTGTGCTCATGACCCACTCAATGGTGTACGGGAAGGTCGACATCACCAGCGACCATCGCTGCAGTGTGTCAGCCTGGTACTTGGCCGTGTTGGCGTTCGAGCCACTTGGGTTGAGAATGTACACTAGGTTCGGTGATCCGTAAACAGACGGAAACCATCCGGGTGTGCGACCAGGTAGTCGAGTCTCGTGCACGACTCGACCACGGCATAGACCTCTTTCTCGACGATGAGCCAGCGCGCACTCGCGCCAGAAAAAGACCCATTGACGAACGCAAGCGGCTGGTGCCGCTGGGCTTCGAGGGGCAAGTCCAGGTCTGCTGACGGTACTTGTGTGGCGACCTCACCCCAAAACAGGTCACTGGCGTCCATTAAGACGCAGTCCGTCATGCCTTCTCGCGGGTGCGGCAGGGGCACCACATGCGCCAACGCGACCATCCCACGGCAGGGAATGCAACACGCACTAACGCCGTTTTCTTGAAGCTTCTGGCTGCCTTGGTGGCCACGTCGAGCAGACGTCGCAACGGATCCACCAGCTGATTGTAGCCGGGGATGTTCGCACGCATCCAGTTGGTGGCACACACTGCTGGATGTCGGCCGTTGTCGTCGGCGGCGACAAATCCACGAGTCCTTGGATTTGGCTTGGGGAATGGGTGATTCCATCGGCCTAAATCACCTTACCACACCTCGGCCTCGCGCAGAAAGAAATGACACTTCTTCGGGCTCAATTTGAGTCCGAACCGGGCACTGATAGTCAAGACTTGGTCCAACAAATCGAACAGCTCGTCCGTCGTCTCGGCGGTCTCAGCAAGTCATCTAGCCAGGCCAACAGGCCTCGGAACAGCAGTTCACCAAATATTTGGTGGACAACTGACTGGCAGTACGCGACAGCGTCGGTCTGTCCCATGAGCACGCGAGTCGGCGTGCACACGCCGAAGTGCGTCATGAACGAGAAGTACTGTACATCTGGCTGTCCGCATATAGCAGAAACTGCCAGTACCCTTGCTCCAGTCCAACACGTGTACCCATCGTGCTGTCCAGATTTGGCATTGGCCAAGGCATCGGCTCCGTGCAGGCGTTGACCGGCTTGCTGTCGATTGTCATGCGCAACTCGCCGACTTCCTTCTTCGACACGATTCTTAAGACTGCGGTCCACGTAGCCCGGTGGTTTTGGTATACCATACCATTCGCTTCCAGGGCAGTCACATGGCTGCGCATGCTGCGGCGGGTACCGACGTATCCCACACTTCACCGGTGCTGAGCCAGGTTTGATCCGGTGTCGAGCTGGGTTTGATCCGGACCTTCAATGGCTCGACCTTGACTGGTGGATCATCGCCCAAGTCTTCACGGAACACATCAAAGTGCTTGGCCAATAAGCTTTGCCGTTCCGCTTCGTCCTCGACGGAGGTTTTGAGATAAACTTCCGGAGTAGCACACTCCATCCCATCGTCGGGGTCACGCTCCGGTGGATTCAACTTTCTCCGCCATCAAGCGCTTGACATTCGCCATGTCGGACAATTCATTCGTCGGCACGGACGAAACGTCCCATTCTTCCTCCTTCTTCCTTGCTCCAACAAGGAGGTCTTCAACGCTGAAGACCGGTAATCTTGAGTCGGCCAAGGTCGTGCATTTTGAAACGCGCCGACAGGCTGTGTTTAATGGTTGACGTCATGTCCTTCGTGAGAGCCATGATGACGGGGTCGTCGACATAGACGGCGATATAAACGGATCATCTGTCCATGACCTTCGTGACCTTCGTGAAGACACACCTGTCTTTGACGAGTTGAGTGTACCCTTGCTCGCGCAAGTAGGTAGCCAGTGTCTGGAGCCCCAAGCGTGGAGCCTGTTTCAGACCGTAGACGCTTCGAAGTACTCGTAGTACGTCGCGAGGATGTTTGACGTATACCTCACAGTCGATTTCTCCATTGAGAAAGGCAGTGATGACGTTCATCGCGTCGATCTCATAGTTGAGGACCGCGCCGAGAGTGAGCATCATTCGCAGAATTTTCTTTGCGATGACTGGGGAGTAACTCTCCTCGAAGTCGACTCCTTGGACCTGTGTGTCCTTGGATGACAAGTCGCGCTTTGTAGCGTGCGACCTGTCGCGTAGCCTCAGTGGCTGAGTCATCGTATTTGATCTTAAAGGCCCAGCGCATGCCCAGGGGTGACTTCCCTGTAGGCAATGTTGCGCTCTCGAACGACATGTTCGCCTCATGTGAAGCCAATTCGAGCATGGCTTCGTGCCAATGCGCTTTGGCTGATGACTTCATAGCTTGCGCATATGTTGAGGACTCCTCAGTAGGTGTTTTGACCTTGAGGGTCGAGAGAACATGCTCTGGTGTCGAGATGGATCGAGCGCTCGAGGCGTCCTCAATATATGACATTAGTAGTCATGCAGGGCTGTCAGGTTGACGTCGCCGTGTCCTATGTGGAAGTCTACGATGAGACGATAACACACTCGTT